AGTCAACCTTTTTGTGGCTATTACATCGCATTTACAATTAAAGTCAAAAGGACGACCAGCAGGGACCCTAAAAATGGTCATAGCAACAACTGCCATGCGAGAAAGCCCAGTTCTATTTCTTGTGCTCGTTAAGAGGAGTATCACTATTTACCTCCAAGGTCAACAGGGACCTGATTCTCCTCTCTTTTATACCAGTGTAAATACGGAGTAACTCCACTGTAGTAAGGGAATTGCATTCTGCTAAAATTTACAACCGTTTTACACAATCGGATCTGTACTTTGCTAACCACAAACAGGAAGTCAGTGGGCCAAATTCTTTTGTCACTTACGTTGTCTGTAACACATGTGCAAAATGTTACCAGTCAGAATTCTCCACTCTCACCCCTAGTTTTACACTGACTGTGCACAAGTGAAAGGACTACAAAGCTCCAAGGCAGTGGAGAACCAGGTCCCAGCTATGTATTGTTATGTAGGTTCTGAATGGTTTTGGAAACGGCCAAAAAAATCATATAGGCCTGTTGTCAAGGGCAGATCCAGGGAAAAGTTATTCTTCACCTGAGATGGATAATAAGAGTCAGATACAAGCCCAGTCAAGGAGTAATTTGCTTATGTAATCTGATTGGTTGACAGTGGTCCAAGCTTCACTGTTATTGGCCTTTGACAAAGTCAGTTTCTGTTGCGGACTCATCTCGTGATTGTTCTGCCATTCATGAACCAGGATCTCTCCTCTGTGATTAGTACTTTCCACCTCTCACAGGGATGTGGAGACTCCATCCAGGTTGGCAAAACGCTTTGAGAACCTCCCATGAAAGGGGCTATACAAGTGCAAGGAATTATTATAGCCTTCGCTGTAGGAAATTAACTAGACAACTGCTTTAAAACTAGTAGCATTTGGGGATCAAATGTTCACCTACAGTGTTTCTGGAACAGCATTAGATTGAGCATCACACCTGAAGTTTGGACGGGATTTTCCCCTGCCGCCTGATAGTGACATTCACCTTTCCCTGGATCATTGAGAATAGACAGACACCTCCTCCACACTGAGGGCAGTTGGTAACAACCGAGGTCCATCACTACCTTCCATCTTAGCTCTGTCTAGCCTCCCTCTCTCTGGGCCTGACTCAGCTCCTGCAGCAGTCAATGGAAAGAATCCTGTTTCCTCCAGCGAGAGCTAGAGCAGGACCTTCAGGCACAAGCCTGCAATTCTAGACCGCAGTGGGAATTTTGCCTGAGAAAAGACTGCAGGATTGGGCCCTCTATTTCTAAACCAAGGGGTGGAAAAGGCACCCAAGGCAGAACAAACAGGAACGAGGGGGAAGGAATCAGACATGCGATCCAGCCTTTCCATCACCACCCGGCTGCAAATCTCTCTAAGAAAAAGCACCAGTTGGTCAGATACACAAAGGGTACATTTGACTTCATTAAAATAAGCTCCTTAACAGAGCAGCGGAAACCTCTTCCAAGCAACAAACATATCATTAAGACCGTATTAAGAGTTGCCTTTGAAGGCCACTAGGAGCCAATTAAGGGATGCTATAGTGTCACAAAGATGGCTTTGAAATGGACTGGATAGTTTTAGCTGGACACTGGCTCAGCTCATTTGCGCAATCAGCTCTTCAAGTTCCGGTCGAGCCTTTAATCGAACCTTGAAGTCTGCCACTGTATGCTGTGGGGAGGAGAAAGGGAGAAATAGGAATTATTCTTGATCATGTTCCAAAATAGCAGCAAGACAATTATCTCCTGATATTGGCCATGCCAATGTTCTGTACTATACCAAGGGCTTGGTGGTAAGTGTTCACAGTTCTACTGAGCCCGGCACTGCTGGAACATTTTCATAAGAACGGCCCTAGTGGGTCAGACCAAGGTCCATCTAGCCCAACATCCTGTCTTCCGACAGTGGCCAATGCCAGGTGCCCCAGAGGGAGTGAACAGAACAGGTAATCATCAAGTGATCCATCCCCTGTCACCCATTCTCAGCTTCTGGCAAACAGAGGCTAGGGACACCGTCCCTGCCCATCTTGGCTAATAGCCATTGATGGATCTATCCTCCATGAAAACAGAGCTTGACATACGGCGCTATTGTAGCTCAGGAACTCAGTATGTTTTAATTTCTAAAATAATATTTTGAACTAGGGCTGTCAAGCGATTAAAAAAATGATTAATCGCACCTTTAAAAATAATAGAATACCATTTATTTAAATCTTTTTGGATGTTTTCTACATTTTCAAATATATTGATTTCAATTACAACACAGAATACAAAGTGTAGCGTGCTCCCTTCATGTTTATTTTTTACTACAAATATTTGCACTTGAAAAACCAAAAGAAATATTTCAATTCACCTCATAAAGAGATTGCACTACAGTACTTGTATCATGAAAGCTGAACTTACAAATGTAGAATCATGTACAAAAAAAATAACTGCATTCAAAATAAAACAATGTAAAACTTTAGAGCCTACAAGTCCACTCAGTCCTACTTCTTGTTCAGCCTATCGCTCAGACAAACAAGTTTGTTTATATTTACAGGAGATAATGCTGCTTGCTTCTTATTTACAATGTCACCAGAAAGTGAAAACAGGCATTCACATGGCACTGTTGTAGCCGGCGTCGCGAGATATTCACATGCCAGATGCGCTAAAGATTCATAAGTCCCTTCATGCATCAACCCCCATTCCAGAGGACATGCGTCCATGCTGACGACGGGTTCTGCTTGACTACGATCCAAAGCAGTGCGGAACCATGCACGTTCATTTTCATCATCTGAGTCAGATGCCACCAACAGAAAGTTGATTTTTTTTTTTTTTTTTTGGTGGTTCGGGTTCTGTAGTTTCTGCATCGGAGTGTTGCTCTTTTAAGACTTCAGAAAGCATGCTCCACACCTCATCCCTCTCAGATTTTGGGAAGGCATTTCAGATTCTTAAACCTTGGATTGAATGCTGTAGCCATCTCTAGAAATCTCACATTGGTATCTTCTTTATATTTTGTCAAATCTGCAGTGAAAGTGTTCTTGAAACGAACAAAATGTGCTGGGTCATCATCTGAGACTGCCATAACATGAAATATATGGCAGAATGCGGGTAAAACAGAGCAGGAGACATACAATTCTCCCCCAAGGAGTTCATTCATAAATTTCATTAATGCATTTTTTTTTTTAAATGAGCATCATCAGTGTGGAAGCATGTCCTCTGGAATGGTGATTGAAGCATGAAGGGGCATACCTGGCATGTAAATACCTTGCAATGCCTGCTACAAAAGTGCCATGTGAACACCTGTTCTCACTTTCAGGTGACCTTGGAAATAAGAAGCTGGCAACATTATCTCCCGTAAATGTAAACAAACTTGTTTGTCTGAGCGATTGGCTGAACAAGAAGTAGGACTGAGTGGACTTGTAGGCTCTAAAGTTTTACATTGTTCATTTTGAGTGCAGTTATGTAACAACAACAAAAATCGACATTTGTAAGTTGCACTTTCACGATAAAGAGATTGCACTACAGTACTTTATGAGGTGAACTGAAAAATATTATTTCTTTTGTTTATCACTTTTACAGAGCAAATATTTGTAACCTAAACAATATAAAGTGAGCACTATATACTTTGTATTCGGTGTTGTAATTGAAATCATTATATTTGAAAATATAGAAAAACATCCAAAAATATTTAATAAATTTCAATTGGTATCCTATTGTTTAGTAGTGCGAATAAAACTGTGATTAATCATGATTAATTTTTTTTAATCGCAATTAACTTTTTGAGCTAATCGCGTGAGTTAACTGCGTTTAATCGACAGTCCTATTTTGAACTAATCTGTAGTATCTTTCATCCCAGGATTCCAAAGTACTTTACATCCATTAACAAATCAAGCATTACAACATCCCTATAAGGCAGGCTCAGAATCAGTCTTTTACAGATGGGGATATGAAGGCTGAGAGAGGTTAAGAGACTCACCAAAGGACACAGTGAATTAATGGCAGAGCCAGAAACAGAATTCAAGGGCTCTAATTCTCAGTACCTTGCCCTGAACCACACACTCTTCAGAATCCATTGCATATTTGGGTATCAGTATTTGTTTGTGCAGAGACTGAATCATACAGAACTGTGAGGAGAAGTCTTTCCGAGAGCCAAGAATTTATATTTCTTCAACAAAATGTGTTATAAGGGACTTAACTGAAGCTGGTGATTGACAGTCTGATTCTCCTCCCCCTTAAGATGGTCTAAATCAGGCATAACTCCACTGAATCAATGGAGTCGCACTGGTGTAAGTGAAGAGAATCAGCACACGAGTGCAGAAGCCTTGACTCAGTGAACGAGCAATGCAGACACATACATACACCCTAAATAGCACGCACAGACTGGGGTAGCTTACACACTACCCTGTGAAATGTATCCCGTCCCTAGGTTTCCAAACCAACCACCTAGTAGCTGTCCTGCTTGGTGAGTTACCTTCTGAGGTTGACAGATCATGAGCTATTGTGGATGCGTAAGTTAGGAGTAAACAAAACTGGGCAAACCATTAAACATATGGAGATGGTGAAGTGCAGTTATCAATGCAAATTGTAGCAGTTCATTTTCAGAGACAGATACAGTTTATTTTATTGGAAGGAGGGGGAAATGGAAGATCTACCTATCTTAGGGCCTGATCCAAAGCTCACCAAAGCCCTTTGATTCAGTCCTTTACTTATTACTATAGTTCCCATCCCCTTCGAATCCAGGCACTACTGTAGAGCTGCCATCTCTCCAGAACTTCACAAGACCATCTGGCGCTCCACACCTCTCTCGTGGGTTACCAAAGGCTAATGTACTCCATGGATGCAGAGAGCATCACTGTCATGGCATATTTTTTGGTCCACAAAAACTACCTTGAATAAATAGAGCTTCCCAGAGCTGATTTGCTTTTGTAATACAAGGACATACAATGTATGGTGGCTTGAGGGCTTAAATTTTCCTCACCGCCCCCCAGTGCAGCAAGGGTTCTATCTACCCAGAGCCCAGCTAAGGAGTGTGAACTCTGGCCCGCCTCAGTGCTCTGGTGAAACTGAATAGAAGAATGAGCTTCTGCAGAAAGCAAACAAAACCCCTTCCCGGGAGGAAGTGTGATCTAATAGTTACAGGAAAGCACTTGGCTTCTGGGTTCCATTCCTAGTCTGTCACCGACTCAACTCTTTAATCTTGTGCAAGTCAATTATCAATCTGCTTCTTCACTAATAAAAGAGGGACAGTACTTCCCTGCTCCATAAAGGGCTTTGTGATCCTTGGATGAAAGGTACAGTATAAGCGCTATGTAGTACTGAAAGGAAAGCATCCTACTCTGAACCACGGGGATTTTCTCTAGGTGCAAAGCCATTTACCATCCACTCTCCTCAAGGGTGGTAATGGGAGTTGGTTGGAAAGGTGCTGGTGGCAGGGGAGGCACGTCACGGGATACGGAAGTCCAAATGCTATCCAGGGCACTGGTCAATGAGCAGAGTCTCACGGAGGCCAACTGACCAAGTGGGGGCCTGAGTCTGAGGCGCGCTGGGCACCCACATGTCAATGGGAGAGGGGGGTCTTCTCAGGATCAAGATCTTGTTCTGTGCTGGTTTTTTTTATTATTATTTTAAATTCATAGATCATAGAATATCAGGATTGGAAGGGACCTCAGGAGGTCATCTAGTCCAACACCTTGCTCAAAGCAGAACCAATCCCCAGACAGATTTTTGCCCCAGATCCCTAAGTGGCCCCCTGAAGGATTGAACTCACAATCCTGGGTTTAGCAGGCCAATGCTCAAACCACTGAGCTATCCCTCCCCCCTTGTTCTGTGCTGTTGTGAGGTAGATTTCACCACATACATAGTAAACACTTCCTAAATGTGAACACGTCAGTAAACTTAAAGGTACCTCTTTCACTGACAGATGGACCCCTTCGGGCTGGTTACTCTGAATAATCTCCAAGAGTACAGGAGCAAACGTTGAACTCAAACCACTGATCTGAAAGAAGAAATAAAATGCTGCAGGAGAAAAGCCAGACACCGAGCGGACCTTTTCCATTAACAACACAGCAAAGGAGTCGATTTCAATGCAAGCCCAAGGCAAAGCCCAAACAAGACCCTTACAGTCCAATCACTCCAGGCCAAAGTACATAACTTTAGTTTGCAGGGCATCTTCCATGCACACTGTATCCCAACATGCCCAGTTTTGACATGAACCACCCCCCATCCCTGCCCACAATATCCCCAATGTCTGTGCGAGAACCTCCACTGCACTTGCTGCTGTCTGGAGCAGGTATTTTGTATCTCTCCACCTCACTGTTTTTCTGACTCAGTTGAAAATATGTCTCTTGTCCCTTTCTTATACCACTTAACTTGTTTAACTGTGCTACTGAGAAGCAGAAGGATTGACATACGCATGTATGTGTTGGTGTGTAGGTATACAGACACATTCATGCACAGCGTAGTTTTTTTAATTCAGGTTAAATTATCGCTAATGTCTGGATCCCTACCACAGAAGCTGCCATGGAAAACTTGGGACACCAATCTGAAAGTTCTCAGCATCAGCTCTGTGCCGTGGAAAACATCTACCTTTTAAAGCTTTGAAAGTTTAACCCAGAACAGGTTTAACCACAAGACTGAGTGTATGTAGCTATAAGACGAGGAGGAAAGCATCACTGAGGAAACAGATTCTAGTTTAAAAACTGTGAAGGGTCAATATAACCAATGAGCTTTAAAAAATTATTATAAACCACTTCACAGTGATAGGAGACAGTGAAGAGGAGTTTGGGAAAATATCTCGTTATGACTTCCATCTGTATTGTCTACCATTCAGTGTAAAAGAGATAGTACCTCTAATCATTAGAGTTGGGAGACAAGCCTTCTGGGCTCTCCATTCTGCAAGTGGCTCATTGTGTGACTTTTAGTTAATTAACTTCTTCGTGCCTCGATTTCCACACACAAGTGGTTAGACTAGAGAGTTAGTTCGGTGCTTTGAGATCCTCAGATGTAAAGTGCTATGCAAGAGCAGAGCGTCATTATAGGCCAATAAAATTTCATACCTGTACAACTCGCTGGTGGGTTGTAAGAACAGCATCTAGGTACTGCCTGGACCCTTTCTCCTGCATAAGCATCACCTCCATGGTTTTAGTGGGCATCGCATAGCTTTAGAAACAACAATTCAACAATTAGGGAAATGTCAACAGCCCTTGGCAGGAATGAGTGAACTTTCATCAGAAGAGAACATGGGATGAGATGAAGCATTCATGAGAAATTAACTATGCAAACAAGGTAGACTGCATTAGGATCAGACACAAGCAGGGCTGTATAATCACTTGTGTGACAGGACAGAGATCAGAGGGAAGTTTACGGCATTACTGCTGCCCAGAAGCTCTTTTGGGCACAAATGCTAACACAAGAGGAGACAACTTTATTCAATGCCTTTGTTGTTGAAGGAGAGATTTAAAGCAAACATCTAGTACAGGGATCCCCAATGTGGTGCCTGCCAGGGCTTCCACGTGCGCCCGCCCACTGGCCATCAGACAAGAAGCCGCCGAGAAGAGGCAACGTCAAGAAGCGCTGCCGCCGACGCCTCTTAATGACGCTGCTTCACGGCGCCATTTCGGCGTCTGCTTGTCCGGCGGGCACGGCACTCAGCGGCTAGTCGTCCGGCGCCCGCCCCATAGAAAAGGTTGGGGACCACTGATCTAGTACATAGTTAATGTACCTGGTTTTATTTTCATTAGCAGTAACTGACTTGTATCTTTCACAATGGTTATTAAGAAGGATAAGAAACAGCTGGTGTAACATGCCACTTGGAAAGACTTTATTTTCACCAACATGGGCCTAGTATGGACAGAGGAGAGATACTTGGCCAAATTCTGTTCTCATTTACATCAGTGTAAATCCACAGATTTCAATGGTGTTACTCTGGATTTTCCCTGGTGCAAATGAGAACAGAATGTGGCCTATTGTGTGAACCACCAGTACTGCAATTCAATTAGCGAGGAGGGATGATCTTGTGGTTAAGGCACTGGACTCTCACTCAGGAAGTCTGGGTTCAATGGCCAGGTCAGCCACAGACTTCCTGTGTGACCCTGGCCAAATTATTTAACATAAGAACATAAGAACGGCCATACTGGGTCAGACCAAAGGTCCATCCAGCCCAGTATCCTGTCTACTAACAGTGACCAATAGCAGGTGCCCCAGAGGGAGTGGACCAACAGGCAATGATCAAGTGATCTCTCTCCTGCCATCCATCTCCACCCTCTGACAAACAGAGGCTAGGGACACCATTCCTTACCCATCCTGGCTAATAGCCATTAATGGACTTAACCTCCATGAATTTATCTAGTTCTCTTTTAAACCCTGTTATAGTCCTAGCCTTAAATATCTCTGGCCTCAGTCAAAGGGGGCTAATACTTCTTTTCTCCCCTACTTTGTCTGTACTATGTATACAGCCCCTAGCACAATGGGGCCTTGCCCTCTGTCGAGGCATGCAGTCATTACTGCAGTACAAGTAACAATCTATGCAAGAACCACAGTCTAGGGTATGAAGCAGTCATCTAGGTTGTGGGCTCTTCCTGTTACTATTCATAGGCGCATCCGAGCAGAAGGCACTTTAATTTCCTAGCATCTGTGGGTCTTGTTCTAAAACGTTTAACAGGGGGCTGGAGGACTTGAGGGATTGGTATCCATAGAGTTTGAGGGCAGACGGGACCATAAGATCATCTAGTCTGATCTCCGTGGGATATCCAAATGGGATCCAAGAGTCTTTTAATTGATGTCTCTGCCATTTGACAGCTGTTCACTGAATTATGAGAAATTAGTGAGTGGTCCCAGTTTGTCTAGAGCATCCACACTGCAGAAAGAGACCATCACAACTGGTCTATGCACGCAGGACTTTCAGCTCCACAGCTGTTTATGCAGCACCTCATACAAGACCAGGGGTTCTCAAACTGGGGGTCGGGACCCCTTAGGGGGTCACGAGCTGTCAGCCCCTACCCCACATCCCACTTTGCCTCCAGCATTTATAATGGTGTTAAATATATTAAAAAGTGTTTTTAATTTATAAGGGGGAGGGGTTGCACTCAGAGGCTTGCTATGTGAAAGGGGTCACTGGTACAAAAGTTTGAAAATCCCTGTATAAGAGTCTAAAAAAGTCAATTCACTTTCTTGACATTTTTAAATAGAGTTTAAACAGTGAGCACCATGCATACATCAAACAGCATTCAGACAGATTCCCATATGTGCTAACATCCTTTCACAGTCGTTACGACAGGTCCCTTGGACAATACCACGAAGGCCCCAAAGGAATCTGCCCTTATAATCACAAGGGATGGTCAAGCCTGCAGACTTTTACAGATAATCTTTGTGCATCCCCCTCACGGAAGTGAAACAGATGGCATGGTTTCATCCCATAAGCATTGCTCTGCAAAGACCCTGCAGGAATCACACGCCCTGTTACATGATCCACAGAACCATTCAGAACAGCACAGTTAGCTTCTCAGATCTAACATTGGAACCACAGTTATACGAGACCCCACCACTCTACCTCGAGGAGAGCACCACAACTCTCACCTAGAAGAGAGGGGTGGGGTTAGTATGGACCTGGCAAGAAAATACATTCAAAGAACATTTCCTTAATGAAACCCTCTCTGCAGATCCCCACGGTAGGGCAGCAGGGAAATGGTTAATGTTGAGATGGTAAATGCCATCGTTCGCATCCCGAGTGAATATCGTATTGAGATGAACAGGAATAAGTCACACATCGTAGAGCTGTTACAAGCCATCAGCAGACTCAGGCAGACAATGCTGCAGCACATCAGATCCTTCACATCCCCAAAGTGAAAGCGTAAATCCTGGCAACAATATTGGGGTCCCCGGAGAAGAGCTAGTCCAACTCTCCCCCCACATCTAGTTCAATCTAGTCTCTGCTATTTATAAACTGAAAAAGTGCAGTCCAGCCCCTTCACGAAAGCTGCCTTGTGATAAGCCTTTCCATGTCTTCGGAAAGCCAATTAAAATACAGACTTTGAAGGCTCTCTTGTCCTATTTTTAGGAAAATTATAGCTGTGGCAGAACAAGCAATTTGTAGGACAAAGCCCACAAGTCACTGTTCTGCCTGATCCAAGCTCCATGGTGCTAATGTAATTTTCAGTGCTTTTAGATGAGAAAAAGATCAAGACAGAGTGGGTGAAAAGTGACCTTGTCTCTCAATGTGGGGCAGTGAGGAGAGATCCATCCACGCAACAGATGTACGGGAACAAAATCTGACTCAACTCAGCAGAAGCTCTGTTTGCATGACATGCCCCATTTCTTTTCTGAGACACAGACAAAAGAGAAATGTGTCAAGAGGAAAAGAACCCAGCACAATTGACAGAAGCGAGACAGGGCATTTTAACACCTCACAACATGTGGAAAAGACACATGGAAGGCTAGGACTCTAATTATATTTGTGGCACTTTTCATCTTCAAAGAACTCTATCCACGTCCAGCCATCCTCAAGACCTGTGAGGTAAGCAGGCCTTAGTCAACACATTTTGCAGTTGGAAAAGCTTGGGCAGAGAGGTGGCAAGTCCATGGAGTATCCAGGATTAGAACTCAGAAATTCCCCTTCCCCATTCCTGTGCTCAGACCACTGGCTAATGCCCCTTTCTCCAGTGACTGAAAACTGAGAGCTAAATTCTTCCCTGTGATCTGCACAGCCAGTCTATTGATACCCATCCTGTGGCTTTTCCTACTTGAACAGAGCTCTAAGTGAGGTCAGTCAAGAGCCCATGGAGACTGAAAGAACAGAATAAATTCAAGAGAATGACCATGCAGATCAGAGAGGAAGATTCAGACACAAACAAATATCACAGGGGGGGGCGGGGGAGGACGACTACAGCCCATCAGACGTTTTAATCCCACCCTCGAGCTCTTACCGTGGAGTGGGGTCCGGGGCTTGCCCCAGACCAGCCGTGGAGCAGGGTCGGGGGCTTCCCTCGCTCCACACGTGCCATGACTCCACGTGGCTCCCGGAAGCAGCGGCATGTCCCCCCTCCAGCTCCTATGTGTAGGGGTAGCCAAGGGGCCCCACATACTGCCCCCGCCCCAAGCGGCGCCCCTGCAGCTCCCACTGGCTGGGAAGCACGGCCAACGGGAGCTGCACAGGCAGCGCCTGTGGACGGGGCAGCATGCAGAGCCACCTGGCTGTGCCTCCGCATAGGAGTCAGAGAGGGGACATGCCGCTGCTTCCGGGAGCTGCTTGTGGTAAACTCTGCCCGGAGCCTGCATCCCTGACCTCCTCCCGCGCCCCAACTCCCCTGCCCCAGCCCTGATCTCCCTCCCACCCTCCAAACCCCTCGGTCCCAGCTTAGAACACCCTCCTGCACCCCAAACCCCTCATACACAGACCCACCCCCAGCCGGAGCCCTCACCCCCCTGCGCCTTAACTCCCTGCCCCAGCCCGGAGCCCCCTCCCACACCCTAAACTCCTCATTTCTGGCCCCACCCGAGAGCCCACACCCCAAGCCAGAGCATTCACTCCCTCATGCACCCCAGTCCCAATTTTGTGAGCATTCATGGATCGCCGTATGTACTTTGGTCATGCTCGGATACAGTACAAAAATGAGAGCCTTGCAGGTGAAGGTGTTACACCAGGGATGGGGAAAATTTTTGGCCCAAGGGCCATATCTGGATATGGAAATTATATGGCCCTGGGGCCAAAAATTTTCCCCATCCCTGGTGTAACACCTTCACCTCCAAGGCTCT